CCATATTTGGGATTGTGGGTTAAAAAAAAGATCTTTTACACCAGGCTGCGCGGCTCCCACTTGATTCTTCCGGTATTACATAGTTGTTGCAGGTTTGTTTTCAGCAATCTAATAATTTTTGGAGTTTTGGTCGTATTCTAAACATCAGCTGTTTGCTGGTGTTATCGATTTCCACGTTCAGATGTTTTGAGGTCTTGGCTTGGCATATTTCTATCAGCTCGGTTAACACGATCAGTATTAATTGAGCTGTTCACCATCTGCACGCCGCTATCTACTCCAACATCGATCATCACAGGTCGAACATTTGGAGTTGAGGAGTCAGGGTTTGTTTAGAAGTATCCATCAATCAGTGTTTTTTAGGGACTCAGCAGACTCGGATGAGTCTGTCTGAGTTGATTCGGTTGATTTCTTAGAGACTGTAGTAATCACATTCGTGATATCACTTGCCCCCCGAAGCGGCTGGGAACATCCCAAGTTTGACTTTAGCTTGCCGAACGCGGCGCTGAGCCTTTTCAAGAAGCTCCTGACGCTTTTGCTCTGTCGGAGCGAGCGATGTAAAATTTGGAAACATATTGATCCTATGTCAAACGAATTATAAAAAAATGAGTAGCCTTAAATACTCTTACCACAAACTCGGCATAACTGAGTCATGGTTAAATGGTCGATATTTATGACAGATACTATTTCGCTCATTTAGAGGACTTAGATAGCGTTCCTTAATGCAATGGAATGGAGCTCCAAATATTGCTTCCAACTCATGTCGATACTTTCGATTGACTACTGTTTGCGGAAATTCGCGCATGCATCAAGATTCAGCAACTCGTTCTTGATTCGACTAACCTCCTGAATGATCCAAAGCTTACGCCGGAGTTGAGTCAAACTCTTTTTCAATTCTATCGGCTTCCACCTAATTATGACTCAGATCTGCATCCATTACGTTGCCTTTTGCCTCATTTTAAGTCATACCAATCGAACGATGAAACGTGGTATTGTAGTTTTCGATGACATCAGTGATAAGCTTTTGCGTAATTCTCTTGGGGGATATTTTAGTTAGTCTCTGTTTCAACGTTCTGTTAAATCGTTCAGTTTATCCCATAGCTCCATGATCACCTGGCTCGTTGTTGTAGTGCTCAATTGCCTTGGATTTAATAAGCCCTTGGGTCTGTAAGCTGATAAACTCACTACCATTATCACTTTTTAAGATATTGACTTTGTGGAGACGAACAAACGCTTTAAGCTCTGCTAACACAGATGCTGCCGTCTTGTTTCGTAAGAGCTTTGCGAACCCCAGACTTGAGTTGATGTTGATAGCAGTCAAAATTGGTCGTTTCTCCCAAAATGCAAGATCAATTTGCCACGAGTTGGGGTTATGCGAAGCTATTTTGAAACCATTGAATCTCTTCTGTTGCTCCTGAAATCGTTGAATATCGGTCTGATTTCCATACCAATCCTTTACTATTTTGAAAGCTATCTTAGGATTTAACTTCTTTGCCTTCTGATACAGAGCTTGAGCTCCGATATAACCGGTTTTTGGTTCATAGTAGAGTTTCTTTAGTAGCGCGTCCATGATCTTTATTTACAATAAAATAAATCCCCAGTGGTTACCTGCTTAAATATCAAGTTCTTCAGTCGTGATACCATCATCAAGTACTCGACGTTTGTCGTAGTAGTAGTTGAGCGCTGTTTGGTTTTAAGTGTAGGTGATAATAGACCTTGGTTTCTTTCGATAGTCTGAACCGCTTGTTTGTACATTTTAGCGTGATGCGATCCCGTACGACAGTCTCAAACCCGATCAGGACTAAGAACACCCATTGTTTCGACCCACTTCCCTGCTGAATACCCTTTCGCTGAAACCTTTACTTTGTATGTCTCATCTGCCTGGGGGCAAATTCCTTGCAATCGTTTCACATCCGATACCTCTCCGTGTCGGTCGTGAGCGAGCCGTGCTTCGCGGCGTCTTTGCTCTTTTGCCCCTTTGCCACATTGCCCTTGTGCACGCACATGCACACATTGCTCATTCAGCGCAACACTGCTAAT